CCCCAAAACCCCAAAACCCCAAAACCCCAAATTTTTGGTTTCAGGTTGATATAATTTAAACCAGTTAATTTGAATATGAAGAAGAAGCCATCAAAGCAAAGGTCAAAAGAACACAGAGAACGGAAGAAGCAGTACATCCAGATGTTGGAGGATAAGGTGAAAAATCTTGAGAAAGAAAACCTTAGTTTGAAGCAACAATTGAAGCAACAGAAAAACAAAGAGGAACAAGCCAAAGAAGAAGACAAGAGTGCCACTTCGGTGAGTGGGTAGAGAAGAAATAGAAGATTAGGATAGAATTTATGTAGAATGTTTGCTTCACAAGTTATTGAAGCTCAGTAGGAGGCTTGATATTTTATGATTTAACAAAAGTTGGAAGTATCTTGTTTCGTCACACTTTCCATTTTCATATCAATATTGGAATTATTAGAACAGAAATTTAGGAAATTACTCTATCCAACATCCTTTCAATCTTTGTTTGAACAAATGTATTATAGTCGAAGATAGCTGGCCAGTCTTGTATTTACAAATACAATTCATCTTTGCAAGAGTATGAAGACTACTACTTCAATACATTAGCAAAGAAGATACTTCTAGACCCGACCCAAGTCAGATACTCAGAAATCGAACAAGCCGCAGAGAAAATTTGTGATTATGGGTAAAGCTTTGATTTTCCGAATCAAATAAAATATAGTGAGGATCGAAGAGAATACCTTAAGAACACATTCAAAGGTAGTATCTTTTTCGTTACCATAGACTTCCTTGATAACATTATGAACCCTGAAATGAAGACGATTGCAGCTGCATGTAAATAACTTAAGTCTCAGTGAAGCCAAGAGAAGATCTAAGGTAATTATTCCCCAATTGTTTTGGACCAAGTTCATTGAATACTGTTTGCATATTTCATAGCCTAAGAAGCGAGCAAAGAAGTTTTTAAACAAACTCGATCCCTCATATCCTACTGATTTCTTGTTCTCAGACAGTTTCACCCTCACTGAATCAGATTTCTTCGAAAGCAGTGGCAAGAAGATTCTGAGTTATTTCAAAACTATGAAGCAACTGTAAATATATTTCTGAACAGTTTAGGATCAAGAAGCTAATTGAAACCAGAAACCAAATATTCAACTTACAAACAGAAAGCAAAGAGTTTATAGAGTCACCCGAAGTCATGGCGTAAGAGTTTTCCTTAAGTACAGATATACTAAGGAAGATATTTCCAATATTTTAAAATTGCACTCTGAGTTATAAAAGATACAAAGATGCTCACTCCACATCACTTGTGGGATATCCCAATCAAAAAGCATGATAGGGAGCTATATGAGAAAGGAGAGCTGACTGAATAAAGACTCACTTTAAGGAATTTCAACAATATTACCTTTGAGATAGATGCAAGCAAAATGATTAAAATTTATTTCAACAATCTAAATCTAATTAGGGGTTTTGGGGTTTTGGGGTTTTGGGG